TCAAGTATTTGCCAGAGCCTAGCAGGTTTTTTTCAGATTTAGGGAGTTTCTCCAGTGAGAATTGTAGAATCATCGAATCATTTAGGTTAGGAAAAGACCTTTAAGATACTCAGGTCCAACCCTTAACCCAGCACCACTAAACCATGTTTCTCAGTGCCGCACTTACATGTCTTTTAAATACCTCCAGGAATGGTGCCCCACTTCCCCAGGCAGCCTGGTTCCAGGTCCAGCCTGGTATAACCACTGGACCAGGTTACACAACCCTTTTGGTAAAGAAATGTTTCCTCATATCCAGTCTAAGCCTTCCCTGACGCAACCTGAAGTCAATATATTCTGAACCCTGACTTTGCCTCTGTAGATATTCTCGCTCTGGGAACTGTCAGAGGGAAAACAAGGAGCTGTCCTGGCATTTGTTAATCAAACACTGCAGCACATTTGTGAGTGGGGTCAGCTGCAACCCTATTTTTACAGGTTGCATTTGCTGCCCAGAGTTGCCAGGACATCAGTTTCTGAGCTCTGGGTTTGCTTCCCAACAAAGCAGGATGCTTTAAAAATGATTTATCTTCCTCAGATTATTCTCTCTCCCTGCCAGCAATGCTTGCTGCATCATTGCAGTGGATATTACTTGTTCTAAATGAGTTATAGAGGCAGGATAGACTCTCTTTTGGCCTTTTTGCTATAACAGGTTTATCTTGTATCCCTATCATCATAGGGCTCAATATTGGCAATCTAATGTAGCCTGTATATAAAACTCAAATATATATGGAAATTTTGGAACTCTAAAACACGTGGACATCAGCTTTCTGAGTTTTGGACACAGGGTGGCTTGGAATAAATAACATCCCTGTTCTCCACAGAAAGATATTTTTAGTATTTTGTTTATGGTTTTATCCACATCATCAGGATTCAGTAGTATTTTTAATAGGAAAACTCTCCTGTGTTAAAGGTTTGAGGGTACCTGAAGATTTCAGAGTAACTAATAGTGTGCATATTGCTACTGCTATTTAAATACTAATTGCTAAGATTTATTGCTTAACTTTTAATGTTAAAGGTCAGGTTTGTCCTGTCTCATACCATGCAAATCTCATTGAATCTGTAATCAGAATCTGACCCAATAGAAAGATTTTTATCCTGTGATCTAACTACAACTTTTAAGACAACAGTTAACTTGGCTTGACATTCTGATTTGATCTTAAACAGGAACCATATTCCTTTGAATAGGATTTATTGCATCCATTTGAATCAATAATGCTGTTAAAAGAACAGTGGGAAAGAAAACTGAAAATATGATGTGAAGTGTATCAATTAAAAAGTAGTAAATTTTATCGAAAAAGGAGGCAAAATTGACTGTCAAAATATCAACCGAGGACTTGGTTCTGGTGCAGGGATAGATAGTGTAAGTATTTAATCAAAACAGCTGAAAACCTCCTGCAAGACATAGATCACAGTCAAGTCTGAGAGGGGAGGCAGTGAGGGGAAGGAAACCTCTTGACAGCTTCTGGATGCCTTTAGGTGCACTGTATGCTAACAGTCTCACTGCTTGAAATATTTATAAAATGTGATATTGAAGGTCTCAGAACAGAGGCTCCCGTGGCAGATAGACACATCTTTTGGATCCTGTCTCGCCAGTGGAAGAGGTGACAGCCACCGGTGCTTGTCACTGCCTCTTGCTGCCAGTCCTGTCCCCATCGCTCCCCACCAAGCCCTGGGAAAAAGGCTCCTGGGAAGCATCATCCTGTTGAGCTGTTCATCCGATGTGCAGGTCTGGGCTCACCTGGCTGCCCCCATCAGCACACAGATTACTTTGGAAAGGATCAAAAAGGAGAGGGAGGAGGAAAAACACCCCTGGGAGACAGCAGCGAGCAGCTGCTGTCCTCACAGAGGGACAGTCATGGTTAGAAGTACAACCTGAAAAGGAGGACACAGCCTAGTAATGCCAGTTTGTGGCTTTGCCTTTAGCTCTGCTGTTGACAACTGGCTGGGCAAATTATTTCACCTAGATGTGAGTTTTTAACTCTTCCTTGGCAATGCTGTTAATAATCACAGCTATTGTGCGGGTTGTTTAAACCGTGCAAATAGATGGGCAGTGAGATGGCACTATTTTTTACTGTTAATAATTACATGCCAGAGTGATCACTTGCCATGAGTTATTACTAGCAGCCACTTGGACCCAAAGTCCTTTTCCATGAGGATGACTGCTCTGCAAGGTTCTGCTGTAATGAAGCAAATCTTGGCAACTTGCTGCACACTCTTGCCAAATTCCAGCTCATAGGCAAGAGACACCAGACAGGATAAAACCTGCAAGATTTGGTTCAGTAATAAAGTTTTGCAATTCTCTAGCTGTGCGCATCCAAAGGCTTTGCGGTGCTTGAGTGGGTTTGAAAACCCTCTGGGTTCAATCGCAGTCCTCTTGATTTCCTTAGCTTTACATTCTGAGCACGTCGGAGGGGCAGGGAGCTGTGAGTGGACTGTGTGTGGAGCCTGGCGGCAGTGGCCTCTTCATTAGGAGAAGAGGGATGTGTGCTGTCTCAGAGTACTTAGCTCCAATTAACTGATTAGCTTGAGGTAAAATCCTAGCAAACACAAGGCTGTTTGACGTTCTGAAGTCAAAGACTGCCTGCTGTCTTCTGTTTGGAATACAAACTGTCTTGGGGTTTTTTTTTGGTGTAGTTCTTGGGAGGGCTGAAGAAGAACTGCATTCAGCCTGGCCAGGGCATCATGTACTCTGGATCACATCCAGGGAAGCTGCTGCCCTAGAAGTGACAGAATGTGTGGGTGCCAGATTCCCATCCCGTGGTGTGTGCCTGAGGATGGGTACATGACTCAAGAGATCTCAAAGACTCTTCTCTTGTGTTTAGAAGAAAACAGTTAGAAAAAGGAAAAAAGTCTGGTTGGACATCTAGTGCCTGGCTGTGCCACAGACATCTCGTTTGATTGCAGATGAGAACATTGTCATTTCAGAACATAAGGTATTAAATTAAAGCTGCAAAGATCATAAATCTGATCTTTCTTTGTTCATAGGTTTTGTTTGTTTTTAATTCCTGAGCTGAGGCTGTGACTCTGCATTGTCATCCAGTTCCAGTGTTTTACAGTTCAAAATGCCCTTACACATACATCTGTACTCACTCATGTGTGTTATTAGTAAAAACTGTTCCTCCTTTTGATGTACAATTAGAGACAGACTATGCAATTACTTCTACAAAAGCATTAATGTGATTGGACTAAATTCTGTCTTAACAGGAGACATGATATTTATCTTTAAACTTCAAGAGCATGGCTTGTGAGCCTCTGAATGGGATTCACAGCATGGAATTAGTGTACTGTAAGCAAAGGATCATTTTTACAGTATTAATTTCACCTGAGTAGGTAACTGATCAAATTCAGGTGTTTCTGACAGTTTTGTCAATCACTTATTTTGTTTTTCTACTCTATTTTTTTTTTCCATTTTTCCTACCAGATTGCACCAGGCTGTTATTATAGAAAATACCATTACTGCTGTCAGTGCCCTGTATTGCTGCTGTGCATTGTGTATGCAGGATGGGGGCACCTGCAGCATGCTGTGCACATCTTTGCTGCATCCCTGCTCTCTTAGTGAGCTCAAGTGAGATCAGAAGAATGTTTGCCTTCATATGAACTCTTGAAAAGACAGCAAGAAAAAGCATCAGCTAATTTCTATGGATGATGGTTTTCCAATTAGTCCGAGTGTTTCAGGCTGCAGGCTGTGCAGTGCTGTCCTAGGGGGTGCAAAAGGTGATGCTAATGTTCTTTCCAAGCAGCAGTTTCCGTGTCAGGATGCATGAGTTTGGTGGCACAATGCCCCCTGCTCCCTTCTTCCAGTGCTCACACAGCCTGACACCCCCCTGTGCAGATTAATTCAGAAATATAAAATGAATGGAAATAAGTACAAATATGCCAATGTATGCATTTAGCACTCCTGGCAGCATCTTTGGTTTTATTCTTCTTTTCCCCCCACCCTGTTGAGCAACTCATGATTGTAATGTTTCATTAACAGTACAAGTGTGTGGGAGATTCTTCCAGTAGAATGGCCTCACAAATTCTCATTTGGTTCTTCCATGGTTTTTAAGTGCAGTATATGGGTTCATACTTATTAAGCACCTACATCACAATTTCTGATCTCTGAAGGTTGAGGTTTTGATATTAAGTATGACTTAAACCCTTGTTTTTATGAGGTTTCGAAAGCCTCCAAGTATTTGTTGCCTTAATGTTCATTGCATCTACAACTTCCTAACAGCCTGTGACAAAATGCATGCTTGCAAATGGTAATGAGAAGCAGTTTTATTTTATGAGCTGCACGAATTCAAATGCCTGCGCTTGCACCAGCCCCTGAGTCACGGAACGGCGGAGGGATGGTGATAGCCTCTGATTAATCCCAGACGGGCTGTGAGCCAGCAGCAACCTGAGGCTGGAAGCTCCATCTGCAGTCTCCAGCCCGCTCAGCCATGCAGGGCCCCAGGGATTTCGCTTGGGGCCTGTTATTCCTAGGCAGAAGGCAAAGCAATCCATTGATTACATACTGGTCTGGGGTCCTTTGTGATTTTATGTTCCCAGATAAAACGCTCTCCAAGTATGGATATTATTTAAACAGTTTTTAAGCAGAAAAGGAGATCTGGTTTTTTCTTTGTTTTCCCTAATCTGTCTCACAGATGAGAAATTCTGGAGATCACAGTGCTGTTTGAAGCTCAGCTTGCTTCTAACATCTAAGAATGTTGCTCCACCAGTTCTTTCAGAACGTGGTTCTTTCATAAAACTTTATTTCTAGAATATATTTTTTCCCACCTTGAATCCTAGTAAGATGTTTTAGGCAGCTGCATTTTAATCTTCAGCATTAATTAACTTGGTAAAGTATAAAGTAGCAGAATCATGGCTGGCAATATTAATGAAAGTAATGAAAACAGATTAATGACTAAATCCAAAGAAACAGAAGCCCAGCCTCCCTGCAGACATGGATATTAATTAGATTTCCTTTGTTTCTCTCGGAGGGTGGGAAGCTTCTCCTACTCCACCAATTTCTGCAAGTGCCAAAGAATTTACTTTGTGCCTGGTTCCAGTTTGAGCTGCAGGCAGAATCTGGTGAACAGAGTGAAATACTGTGAGGAACATGAATTTCTGACCTGACAGTAAATGTGACAAACCAGTAATCTTAATGGGATATTTTGTTTCTTGAGGTGACCAAAAAGGATGGAGAGAAGCTCTGCTTTGGGGTGTTTATGCACACTGAATCTCTGAGATTGCTTTGCTTGGGTAAGAAAGACAGGCATGCAGCTGAGCAGCATCTACCCAACTTATTAGGGGAATTTAAACATACAGAAATGGATAAAGGGAAGGAGATGAATTTGGGACATTCTGCCACAACAGCTGCTGGCTTGTCTGCTCAAATAAATAAGACCAGTAAGTGTCTTGAGGGCAAATCAAATAGAATCTCAATGCAATAACATGTAAATAGCAACTGGGTATTTGGCATGCTTGTGTTTCCTAAGTTCTCCTAGTTTGTGTTGAGTGCACCCTTCCCTCACTTGATTTCAACAGGCAAAACACATACAAGCCGCAGCTTCTTACAGTGATGGTAAGGCATAACATCTCAATAACGTCTCAATATTGGTGTGCCCAGAGCCTTTGTCTAGGGAAGGAAAGTGGTGATGGACTGAAAATTAACAAGAGCACTGTAGTGTATATTTCTGGGTCTATGCCTGTGTCCTGCTTAGGGAATCAGATAAGGTTGATTTGCACATTCCTTCTGTTAATGGCTTTGTGATCCTGCAGCAAACTCAATTTGTATCCATAATGAAAACTTATAATGTTAGTGGCAATATTAATATCAGTGTAATTAATAATACTATTTATATCATCAAGAGACAGTCACTAATTATGCAGAAGGATTTATATCTAACATCAGATTAACCTTCTCTCACTAGGCAACAGCTTGAACTTGTTTTCACCCAAGTAACTCATTAAGGGAGATGCTCAGAAGCATTGCCATGGGCGCAGAGAGCTGCTGCATGAGGGCAACTGAAATGTCATCGTCAACTGCAGCACTGCCAGGTGAGTGAAGTCTTAGGGCCAAGGTTTCCATAACTGAAGTTAAATAAAGTTACACTTCTAAATAAAGTTCTCTCATGCCTCTGAAAGGGGACCTGGTTTTCAGGAACACGCCAGTGGGACCAGCACATCTTTGTTCAGAACAGTTCTTTACGTTTCAGTTTGTCAGGAGCTGGATCATTCCTCAGTTATCTCATGTGTAGGTCAAGTTTCTTCACTTGTTTATAGCAAATAGTGGGTACCATGCTAAAGAGAAATGTCATTTATAAAACCAGAGACCAGAGGAGATTTGGTCATTCCCAGCAAAGGTATTTCTCTTGATGAGGTGGACTCCACGTGGGTGAAAAGTGTGTGAACTTTTTTTGGTTTAATTGATTTCATTCCTACTTTATGATACTTGTTTATAGAAGTCCCAAACATTTTAACTGGTCAAATTCCTTCACTCTGTGGTTTGGTTTATTTTGTTTTATATCAGCTCCTTTCTACCTAAATGACTGGAGAACTGGTATGGGCATGGAGCAAGAAATACCATGAAGATAAAGGCTGATCCATGGTGAGGATAAGAACTTCTTTCAAACTATTTGAAGCTTGCTGGTTTTTTGTAGTTCTACTTTAATTCAGACTTCTGAGAAACTGTGAGGCATGAGATGTCTTTGTGAAAATTCATTACTTCTTTCCCTTTATTTAAAGAAGAAGAAATAAGAGTCTGAATCAGAGACTGCTGATGAGTTATATGGGAAGGTCAGAATTGATAGCAGCTGTAAAGAAGAACAAAACTGCTTTAAAACCTCATTCCTTTCTGGTGATAAAAAACCCACCATAGTATCAATTATTTTTCTCTTTTATGGACCTGTTTCAAGTGAAGGGTTTTTGTTATATGCAGTTTCTTCTCTGAAAACGAAGTACATTGGTAACAAAAAGTAATCCTTCCTTTGGGTAAGCTTTAATCCATGAACTCTGACAACCTAGCAATCAAGGCTTGTTTCTTCATCCACAGGCTTACAGTCTAAACCGCACGAAGGTTTGTACATGTGCAGTGCACAGCCAGAGCAATGTCCCACGCCCGTTTGCCATGTAAAAATGATGTTGTGGTAAGAAGACAACGGGGTTCCCAATAAGAGGTTGGAAAGCTGTCAAAACAGCTGCTAAATCAGCTTTTGATAGGAGCTGACTTTCTAAAGACTGCTTGAACTACTTCAGATAATTTATGCGCTTGAAATTTTAGCCATTGAAAACTAGAGGTCTCAGATATTTTACCACTGACAGCCAGCCGTGCCTTACCCTGTTTTTTCTAGCAACCAGCAGTGTATATCAAAAGGTAATGGGCTTTGGATTACATAGTTATGGTGGAGGTAGTGTCATCTGAAACCTGTCATAGCTTGATTCAGGCTATCGTGGAGATGTCTGGTAGTGCTAAATCAGTGCTTGGTGCTCTAAAGATACTACTCTTGTACAAAGGCAGAGCAATAGTTGAAAATCCCATTGTATCCCTTCTGGTACTACATGTTCTCTGCTTTTTTTATTGAGCTTATCAAATGTTATAGTAACATAACTGCTCTATGACTCCACAGTTTCATGAGGGAGGTGGGAGTGGGAGGAGAGAGAAAAGCTGTCCTTAAAATAAAAAGGTTGAATAGTAAGTAGAATAATAGGATATAATATCCAGATACTCACGCTAGGGCTTCTGAACAGTCATCAGATAATCCCATTACAGGGACATGCAGGGGCATAGCTGGAGCAAAAACACTAGAGGCCAAATTCAGCCTCGATGCAACCAGAGGCAGCAAATTCATGCCTGAAGCTCAGATTGTCCCTGGACCCTTTGGGAGGATAATGGTCTGTCTCACTGCCGTGTTAGCTTCAGCCTGGCTCCACGGAGGACAGATGGGTGCACAGAGGAAGACAGATTGTCCTGCCCTTGACCCAGCTCCTGGTGATGGTGCAGAGGTTCGGGTGCTTCCCAAGGGGCTGGCAGCATTTCTCAGCGGAGCAGCAGGGTGGTACCCGTCAGCTCTACTGCTGCCTCCCGCCATGGGAGCCTGGTCAATACTGCTTGATTTGATTTAAGGGTTTCAGTTTTCAAGGGAAACAGACTGCTCTTTTGTAGCTGGAAAGAAATGTGTTTGCAGTGCGATTAGTACCCAGCTCAGGATCAGTACCTTGCTGCTCTTCGTCCTGAGAGACTGAGCTTGTGCAGAGATAAAGGTATGATTCCAGGAATATGAATGTCAAGCTGGGCCTCATTCTATCCATAAAATGAAGATGTGTGTGAGTTCCAGTCTATTTATTGAATTAGAAAAACAATATAGCTCACACTTTTCTTCCTCCTTTAATGTTTCATATTCGCACCTTGAAGCATCTTCTATCTCTCAGGCAGGCCTTAGTTTCACATTCTCCTGGGTAGCTGGTAGCTACCATTTAATCTTCATTTACCTTCCTCGAGATGAGAGTATTGGCCCTGAAGCTGGAAAGGCCTGCACAGACACCCTGCTCTGACTGATAGGTGAAGTTAGGCAGGAATTACCTGAGGCTTCCTACAACAAGGGGAATATTTTTTTGTTATAAAAAAGGATGAGTTTGCAAGTGATAGCAGAATAACACTCGTGGGTTTACTTCCCAGCCTGGTAAGGCTCCCTTCAACCTGAACCCTGAGTCTTGGGTTTGAGCCTGTGCCAGAAGACTGGACATCAGTCTTCCCTTGCAACCCGCCCTCTCTCCAAAGAGCCACCCCAGCACCTTCACGGGGATCAGGCTGGGCACAGCATTTGCTGGCTTATGCTGCCAGCAAAAGCCATGGTGCCTCCTCTGTCGATGCTAGGGTTTGAAGTCTGAGTCCCACCGCAGCCTTGAGGGCTGGTCCAAGCTCTCTGCAATCAAAGGAAAGATTTAGCTGACCCTGGTGGGTGTGGATCCAGCCCTGAGTTGTTAACATTCAACAGGAGACAAACACCCGCTCATTTCTGTAAGTGTGAGTTGCACTCACCAAATACTTAAACTGTCCATATAAGACAAGAACACTCACAATAAAATCTATTGTTTAACAGCAGGCATGACATTGAGCTCTCAGTCTACAGCAAGCCCATCCTTTTGTCACTGAACATTTAACTTCTGATTATTTGGCCTTTCAGCAGAAGCCCATGGATTCCTCCAGTGACCACAGTGTGCTGAGTAACAGCATGGCTTTTACACACGCTCTCACACAAGGGAGGAAAAGCACTGCAGAGTTCTATATAAATTAACTTTTCATGTAAAAGCCCTAGAACAATGGGTCTTCAACATGCATATATAAATAATTAGTGCCGGTATAAGTTGGCTGGTTTCTTGTTAATTGACTGTATGTATTTATTGACTTTGAAAATTATTCCAAGCTTTCTGCTGAATCAAAGGAGCTGACTTTCCATCTTACACGCGTCGAGTTTATGAACAGACTTCCCCTAAGTTACAGAAGGAAAAGGCTCCCCTCTTGTGGCTACCAAGGAAAATGACATTTTCTGCATCGTACTCTCTTTAGTTGGAGAGGAGCACGTCAGTTGTAAAATTCCAGTTATCTTACGCCACAGAAGGCAGCTTTACCACTTGTGGAGTGCTGTAACTCTTCTAGCAATCTCCTCAATAGCCGCGAAGCAAATGAAATATCTGGGGAGAACCGATTTATTTAAGTTGTAGCTAAAAGCCATGATCTGTATGAGCAGTCGTTGACATTAAAGAGTGGATTTTAGGCTGGTTAGCATTTGCTCGTAGTAAACTTTGATTTCTATGTGTTATTTTTCTTTTGCTCTATAAAGTCCGCTCTCAGACAGAAGACCTTACAGGTAAGTGTTTAAACCGTTCTGTAACTCAGTAGGCATTCATACAGATGATCAGGTTTTTTATTGTTCTAGAAGCGCTAACAAACATACGTTATTCACGGGATTGCCGATTTCATTGGTGTGAAACGGCTTTTGAATAAACCTGAATTGTAATTTAAAAGTCACAAAAGCAGCAGCTTAAAATTGTTCATTAAAAGCTGTCTTTAAATACTTGGGATACATCCGGAAGGAAAGCAGTGAGTTTACACAGGCGCACAGTTAAAATGAATGTAGTTTTGAACGAAGGGAAGTTTTTCTCAAAGTTGAGACTTGAAGCACTTGTTTCTTGTCAATGTGTCTGCTAAAGTTTTGGCATTGGCTAATCGCACTTAGCCTCTCACACCTCATTTGTATGTAAAAGTTGGAAGAAGAAAACTAACTTTCTTGCTTTTTCAACTCTAGCTGGTTTCTCACCATTGAATGACCCACTCATTGAACACAGATATACTGAAACACAAATACACTGCATTTTCTTTCCTCTGCGTTCCTACAGAAGGAACAATTGCTACCCAAAGTAGAGCTCATTTAACTGTCCAGCTTCTTGGAGAATAACTTCCTTCAGTCACTTGCTTGACTTTCTTCATAACATCAGCAGCAATGATGTGCGATTTGAAATGTATGTAAATAATTTATATAAAATATAAAATAGCTTATATTAAATTTATGCCTCAGTGTAAGTTCTTATTTCAGATTTGCATTTTATATTTGTTTCTTTTCAAAAGAAACATACCTGTTAAATAATCTGCTTTTTTTTTCTTTAATCTGTACTTCATTCATTGTAGAGACGCTTAAATTCCAGGAAATAATTTAATCCTGGGATTTGAACTGGACGTACAAGAAAACAGTAAAAGTTTTGAATTCAAGGCTATGCTCTTGGACAACTCTCAAAAGGAAATATAGAAAAATGAAGTTCAGGAAAAAGGCGCCCTGAAATTAGAACTGTTGTTAATCCAAATATAATAGAACTGATTTAGATTTTAGTTTTAACCCTGGTGCTATTTTTATACTATGAAGAAGCTAAAATGGGAAGCCTTATGCAACAAAAATCTAAATAGAAACAATTCCTTGTTGATTTCTAGATTTTGCTACTGAGGAAGACTTGTGAGTTTCAAATTTGGTGCATCTCTTATTATCATTATTGTTATTACTATTAATGATCTTTAAAATGAAATGCATTTGGCCCAATCCTTTGATACTTGGTAGAACTGTTCACTTTTAGTTATTAGTTTGTGGAACTAACCCCTGTCATTTTCTCTGTGTTGAGCAGATCAATTCAAAAAGACCTGAAAATGGGATGGAAATGGAATTGCATTTTAGGGCAACAAGAAGTCACAGCACTTGTGTGAGTATCAGTTCTCATATCTGATGAGAATACGGGTTGCTCTGTTTGTGTTCCCTGTCTTTGGCCACGTTCTGTGTGATACTGTTTTGTACCACCGATAACATTTTGAATGTCACTGGTGCATTTCTGGAGCTGAGGTGCCTTTGCAGGGCAGTGTCATTGGGGAACTGAGTGCTTCCATTCATTTACAAACCAGAAAATAATCTGCAGCTTTTGGAGCTGGAAATATCCCCAAACGTATATGATGTGTTTAGTCCAGGTGCATTATGCATGTCCTTAGCTACGCTGAGGGCTTCTCAGGAGGTGCAGCTATCACCACAGTCTAGACAACTACTTATTCTTCCCTCTGATACACAAGAAGATTTCAGAGAAGGCAATTTCAGCCTGCTGTCTTTGGATTCAGCCTCATCTGAGCAAACACTCCAGGAGGGGTGAAGGACACCCGAGGGCTCTGTGCAGTTTGCAGTTCACCGTGGAGAGCTGTAAATTTCCCATGTTAATCCCCTGCCAACCAGATTAAAAGCTTTTCAGATCCTTTGCAGCTTTTAGTTTTCTTTTTTAAGAAACAACCTGTAGAGTTCTGTAATCTCCACTGAAAACAGTAGCATTCAGTGAAGTGAGAGGGTGAAATCATAAAATCACAGAATAGTTAGGGTTGGAAAGGACCTTAAGATCATCCAGTTCCAACCCCCCTGCCATGGGCAGGGACACCTCACACTAAACCATGTCACCCAAAGCCTCATCCAACCTGGCCTTGAGCGCTGCTAGGGATGGAGCATTCACAACCTTCCTGGGCAACCATTCCAGTGCCTCACCACCCTAACAGGAAAGAAATGAGGGCCCTGCTTTCTCTACTCTGTGCAGGAAAAAGCTGATACACACACCACCCTTACAGAGCAGGTCCCTCCCCACCCTTTCCTGCTGCTCAGCATCTTCTTCAGCACAGGTTTTTTGGGTAAGGTGATCTGTTTAAACCCTCCAGCTTGGAAGTTTGCTCTATACCATTTCCATAGTAGATTCTGAAGAAGCTTCTAGACAATTACAATGCAACGATGCAGGTGATGGCTGTGGGAGGTGACAGCAGTTGCATAGTAACCTATACCCCTCATGTCCTGCCTATGTGTTGCTCTCTGACCCAGTGATGCTGCTCTCAGCACACGAGGCCTTAGCATGAGCTGTGTGTCAGTCAAAACCTGAGCAGGAGTTGAGTGAAGGGACACTGAGGTGCCTGTGACTTCAGTAAGGCTGCTGCCTGGGACTGCAGGGTGGGCAGGGGCTGGCATGGTTTGTGAAGTTCTGCTTTATATTTGCCTCTTAATGCTTCATAAAGAGTAAAAACTGTGTGTGCTTGCTATCTCATTACTGTGCATAAGATAACTAGGGCTCCTCTGCATGAAATGAGAAATGCATGCCTCTTCTGCTCTGCATTTAAGCAATAATAATTTATGAATCTAATCAGGCTCTGGTTTGCAAGAATGATGAATATTCACATTCTAAATAGCTGAGAAATATTAAAAATGTATGACAGCTTTATTTGTTCCAGCTCTGAGCATTATGGTTGAACATTTTCCTGAATGTCCTGAGCTTTCCCAGCAGCATTCAAGCTCTGAACTAGGAAAAGGTGTCCAGCCTGATGCAGAGCTGCACCTGCCCAGCAGACCCATGTGCAGTGCCCTGCAAATGCAGTCCATGTGCCCTCTCCAAAAAGAGCAGCAACAAAATTGTGGCACTATGGGTTTTAAAGTCTCTGTGACAACTTGTTTCAGTGCAGTAGCTAATATCCAAATGATTTTCTAGTACCTGTATTTTTAGAAACTGGATTTCTTGGAAGTGAAGTTAAGGGTAATGGTTTCCTAATAACCTCCCCCTATTGCTTATCTTACCAATAACTTTGGAATTTGTGTATTTGAGTTGGTGGAAGGATTTGGTAACTTTAATTGTACACATTTTGCTCTGGATTCCTCTGCAATAATGAAAGCAGATGATCAGCAGTTTTGCTGCCCTTAATAAGGTGTTTAATTAACAAATCCTAGGTTGCCTGCAGAGCTTCACATTGTAGGGAAAGTATGTCATTTATTTTTTAGATCTCTTCCTAATCACTTTCTGTATTTTGCCTGGCTCTCACAAAGGTTCAGTATTTGATTTGTTTGTCTTACAGTGATCTTTACATAAGACCAAAGCATGATTTTACCATCTAAACTGATACTGGTCTGTTGAAGAGCCCATCATATAAGAAGTTAATTTGAAATGCATGTTTGTATGGGGGACTTTTTTTTTTTGGTGCTTCTTTTGTTGATATCGATATAATTATCAGGCTGAAAGAACTGAGAAACAGCGAGAGAAACATCTTCTGTAGTCCACTGTTCCATAGGGATTATTCTGATTTTTTTATGTTGGTATTGAGTTTGGGGCACAGCTCACGCTGAGGTCCCATTATCTATCACACTGAATTGCCAAGTAGTGTGTCTGCAGTCAGCCAGCATATAGAGGTCTATGGTATGCTGCACATTTCTTTGGGTTGGTTTTGGTTTCCAGAAATTGCTTATCTACATACAAAAGGAAAACTCACGTTTCTGCTTTACAACTCCCTGGCTGAGCGGTACAGAATCAGCACCTTGGGAAAGAGTTGTCATACTTATGAATGAAAATTAGGTCAGACAACCTGGAGTTTCAGTATTTATAAATTTCAAACACTTTGGACTATGAAACGGAGAATAATGGAAACTACCAACCTGCAACCTGAACACAGAAAAAACCCAATTTCCTTTTACCCTGTGGTTTTCTATGTTCATTGTACACAGGGCTGAGGCTCTGTGTATGGCTTTGTGCGAGCTGACCAGGTCCTGCTTGGCTGGTCAACACTGGCTGGTTAGTGCCTATGAAAGGCCAGGCTCTGGACTGATTAATTTTGTACCTAACTGGATCAGACAAAATGGGAGCGTGATGAAGGGTCATTATCCCTGTTCCATGGACTGGGAAATACAAGACAGTTACTCATTGAAAGTCACACAATAGATGCATGGGTGCCAGATGCTGTAGGTGCCAGAGATGGGATTTAAACCCAGATGTTCTGAGTGCCAGCTCAGCACACTGCGTTCATAGTTATCCATCCTCTCAGAAATCCAAGAAGGCTTTCTGACTGATTCAGTTTTCAGAAAATTTTGGCTGCCATAAAGTAATACTTGAGAGAACCTACATTTGTTAACGTGGAAGGCTATTTTTACTAATGAGTTTAGCCTTTTGTTAGGTAAGAGAATGACAATTAAAGCAGCTTTTCAGAAGTGGACGTTACATTATGGCATGCATCTGAAGTGACTTGCCAGTAACACCGGAGAAGCCTATGTTAGAAGATATAATTCTAATTCCACTCAGTGCTGCAGTGATTTTCAGATATTCTTCATTAATATTTCCTTCCTCAGTTTTCCTCTGTTCGTTGCCACATTTTTTTAACTTTTCAGATCACTAAAATTGTATTGTTTTCAAATTGATAAAACCACTTCCTTAGACCAGAATCAAAGGAGCATCTCCAGTGGATACGATTGAACTGATTTACAGCAAAGGAATAGCATTTAACAAGGAAGGTGCTACCTTCAATAAAAAAAAAGGGGGGGGGGAGTCTATAACTCTAAAGACTGCAAGTTTTGGAGCATAAATGACAATGGAAGTATATGGAGCCTTTAGGATTAAACCAAAGGCCAGCTCAGTTAAGCCAAATGGAGCATTCCTAATCTGACATGTTGACAAGGACCCCCCTGCCTATTCCAAAGGGAGTTTCAAATGAATCCAGATTTATCTTATGTTCCTAACAGGGGCTGGGCTGGCTCCAAAGGAAGTCATCCAGGCCAAAAATAAACAAGATACACATGAAGCTTTTTGTGCCACCAGGAAACCTTCCAGGGAATATGTGGAGAAGAGAAGGAAAGCCAGAAGAATCACAGCTTAAGATATCTTTCCTCTCTCCTCATTATATCCTATCTCTATTTCTTCAGAGAGTGTAAATCCAAGTTTCTTCCCCATGAGACCTCTTGCCCTTCTATTCACTTTCCTCATCCTTGCTTCCCCAAGAAGACTGCTCCATGTGGTGTTTGTCCCCAACACCCAGCTCCTCCCTATCCTGCAGTTGCAAGGAAACAGCTACAGAGATGCTCAGTGTTGAAGTGCTGATCCTGCATCTGCTAACATTCATTCTTGATTGCTGCCTTCTGCAAGAGCCGGCTGGAGCTGAACAGCCATGCTCTTCCCAGGAGTCTGTGTGAATAATATGAATTATGTAATGCTAAAAAGCAAATTTAGCCTTCTCCATGCTTTTACCATGGCAGACACAGTCACAGTGATTGCAAATATCAGGACCAGCACCTTTTGCATTTATGTTTTGTCAAACTGGGACCAACCTTTTAATTTGCTAAGAGACCCCAGGAAAGCTGTCCTGGTGGCACACGTTGTTCACTGCACCATGTCTGACCAGGTTCTGACATGGGCTTTATAATTTGCTGGAGCAGAGTCACTAAATTACATACTGCTATGAGATGTATAACCCCACGAGACACAGAACAGCTCCTTAATACAACAGCCTTCAAAGAGGCATGAGCTCAAATAGCACTGCAGAGGACAAAGCTTCCCAGTGTTAGATACAATATTAGTTCTACCTCATGAAACATTATAGGCTCCATTTTCCAATGAAATCCAAGTTTGTGCCCATAATAATAGCATGTTCAGAACTTGTTGCCAATGTCTGCCTAGCTATGTAGAGACAATCATCAGTGCATGCAAAAAGGAAGGCTCTAGAGCATCTACAAATGCAACTCCAGGGTTTTAGCAGTGTATGCTATACATACGCAGGATAGAGATGGTTATGTCTGGCGGTGAGGGCCAGGGTACAAAATATGAGTCTCAGAAGGATGTTTTATAACCTGAACTGTAGATTTTGCAGCAGCCTTAGTATTCTGATGGTTATATTTTGAAAACCAGAAATCTGGTCTGGAGATGTGTGTTACCTCCCATCTAGTACCAAGATTTACATTTTTTGTGTGAATCTCTAGTTGTCAAAATGACAACAGTCCTGTTTGTCCATGAATTGTGTTATTTACTATCCCCAGTGATAATGGCCATATTCTTGTAGAGTTTGATACTTGAAGGCAATATGCTAACAGAATTAAATGTGAAAAAGAGATAACTAGTGTCACCTGCAGCAGTGAGAAGTTTTGCAGAGAGATGGTGTAGGATGTTACTGCAGTATAGAAACTTGATGAAACACTGCACAAAAAATAGGCAAGTGATGATCAATGATTGTGTTTGTGTTCACCACAGAGTCACACTGACTTTAATAGCACTTGATTGTACACAGCAAAGGAAGAATTTTTATTACATAAATATAAGTAGATATCTATATGGATGAATGTGTGTGCATTCAGGTGTAACACTGCACAAAACTGCAGCTGCTTGGTTTTGTCCTTTTGCTATAATAATTCACAAGTCAAAGATTTATTCTGATAATATTACAGTACATTTGCTCCATGTACCCAGGGTTTTTTTTGTATGTTTGGGTTTTTTTTGTATGCATCAGGAAGGTAATAGGTAGCTGGGGCTTAGGCTTCAAGCAGATGCAAAAATGTGAGGCTGGACAGATCAAGATTTAAGCTTGAGAGGTGTGAAATATACAGCTGGATCACTCCAGCAGTTCTAGTGCAATGATTTCGCTCTTGTCTGCCTGTAAGATGTCTTTTGACTTGCTCTCAACCTTGGCAAGAAGCTTAGATTTGAGGCTTTGGCACTCCTTCTAAGGAGCACTATTTAGGCCAATATGGACGCATGAATTTCCCAGTCCTCACAGGAGCTGATAAAATCATGGGCAAGTTCCATTAAATGACACTGGAGAGATTTGCTTTCAGAATTATTTACAGCAAGGTTGTGCCTGTTGTAAATAACTCGGGGTTACTTACCTGAAACCTGAGTTAAGGGACTCAGGCTGGGTATGCAGGTGGGGAGTAAGGAACCAGTGTCCTTGGGTTAGAGATGGGGTGATACCGCCCCTTACACTCGGATCCTAGCCCAGGGCTTAGGAGCTGTTGTTAGCTTTGGCCAGCACATTAGCCTCTCTGGAGGGGGGATGATGACTCAAAGGGTGTCTGAATCATCATCGGGGCTTCCCCTGGACGAGGCACTGGGCACAGCTCCCTGCTGCATCCCCAGGCAGGGGGGATGGATGGGGAAGGAATTTTGAGCTCCACAGCCCCAGGAGCAGTCTCCCTCCTGAAGGACCCTATGCTGGTAGGGGAGCCACAGGTGAGAAACAAGATGAAGGAGACACATGGCATTTGTAACATTCATTCCTGTGACTTTCTGTGTGTGTATTTGCTTTCAGGGTCTGTTCTCAGTTCATTGGGGCTACAAACTCCAGCAGCTTCCTTGCAAAGTCTGCAGTAATGTGCAAACAGAAATGAGCGGTGAGTGGCTGTTGCAAACTACACTGGCCTCCTGGCATTTTCGGCTGTTTTCCACCCACCCTTGAAAATCATCTCTGGCCCAAAATGGAACTGTGAGCGGTACCACATGCTCTAAATGAAGTGCTAATCAAATACTTCTACTTAATGTAGACAGCATTTCTTTGAAAACACTGTAATGTATTGCAGATGTCACAAATTCCCATAGAGAATGATGAAGGGAGCAACGTACACATTGCATCCCTCTCTAGGATGCAGGGATGTAACCTGGGTAGTTGTGACTGATAAGGCCTAATACTGAAGCAGCACTCATCTGATCCAACTTCCCACACACATTCTCCCACAGTGATCTTGGTATCAGGAATACCGCAGGTGCTTCCATCTGGGTGCACACTTTGACACATAGGAGGTAAATGGTGGAGCCACAGAGCTTGGTAAATACTTGGAGTCTTAAAGAAGCCAGGTAAGAACTGGCAGATGTTGCAGAAAAGGACCTAAATCTCTTTGGATGGAGGCTGCAGCCATGCTGGAGGAGCTGGCAGATGGTTTCTGGCTCAGGCTGTCCCAGTGGAGGACAGAACTCCACAGCAAAGGAGCTGAAAGGCTTTGGGTTTAGCACATGCTCTGAAGTCCTTTCTGGCAACAGGAGAAAGGATGAAAATCCAGTTCTGAGTAGCTGGAAGGCTCTTGTAAAATATTGCTATTGAAATCCTGGTCAGTCTTTAGGTTTCAGGGTCAGCAGCCATCAATCTCAGAAGGGCCAGATCACCCAACTTTCGGGACATGCTTTTGCAGTTAATGGACCATATGTTCAAGTCCACTTCCAAGTCCAGACTTGCCCATGAGCAGCTTGCTTTCATGCAAGCTCTGGCACAGGCTCAAGTCCAGCTCTGCTCTGTCTTGAGGGAAGAGTTTGAGCAAAATGGATGTCTTTGTACAGACCCAGGCTGTCATCGGTGCAGCCTGGGTGGATTAGACAAAAGCAGGGCTGTTCATACAGGGGTTCAGTTTTCCAGCACGAATCCAAATATCTGATTGAAATGCTTTCTATGTGTACCAGACCCAAATTACCACTAGGGCAATAGCTAGCCAAGTGGGCAGAAACTTGCGTGTCACAGAGCTTGTCCCCATGTGCATGTGCTCATCATGCACATGGCCTCTGTCTGCAGGCAGGCTCTGAGGTCAAGCCCTCTTGGCTCATTTTTTGCAGAAGGAGATTTCTCTCATAATCCACAGGACTAGGAATGCATGCTGTCCTTTCTGTGGCAGCTCAAACCCTTGGGTAGCTGAGGCACTACCTGTGAGACACCAGCACTTCTGTCTTGAGCTCAGGTTCCAGGGATGGGTCAGGGGTCCTCGTTGCAGGAAAGGGAGATTTTGGAGTGTTTCAGCTGCAGTGGTCTGAATATACCCCACAAATAAAGTGAATAGGGTGGAAAGAATAAACTGGGAAATCCAGTTTCCATGCAGTGATGGTTACTTGCAGGGCTGGGGAAGATCTCTGATACTGCAATGTCAGGAGGGAGGAAAGTCTGGTTAGGCAGAGGTTCCGAGTCAGAGAGGAAGGAGAGTGAGCCAGGACTCCTGGATTTCATTACTTTGTGCTAACGAGTTGTTAGTGGTTTGCCTAATGATAAACCACTTTGCTCTTCAAAACGGAGAGTACTTCCTACCTCATTGAGATCAAATAACAAAGGTGTGCTAATGCAGGCGAAATAATGCTTACATAGGGCTTCCAGGCCTGCAGATGGACACTGCAGTAGTGTTTGCATTCTGGGGTGACAGTGATGACGAATTAAATCTTACATTAACACTGGATATGTGTAAATTTATAAGTTCATATTAGAGAAGGAGCTTAGCACTGAAGAGTTAATAGATGGGGGGGGTGTGGGGTCGGGGAAGTCCAGTTCTTTCTGTTTTCCTTCTGTCACAGTTTGCTTTGAAGTGCAGCCATCATGAGCCACCTCTGCCCTGATCCAGCAGTACATCCTCACTGCACTCACAGAGCTTTTCTCCCTGGGACTGTGTCCTGCAGGTCTCCCCAGCAGAAACTAAACTGGGTATTCATAGATCCCTAACTGCAAATTGAACTCTGTCTCTTTTTCTTTTGAAGATTGCAGGCTTGTAAAGATCTGAAGCTGGCTTAGCAGCTGTTCTCTGCAGCAGGACTGTGCTTATTGTGCAATGTTAAAGCAGTTATTTTTATTTAAAGAGTGAAGCCAGCATGTTCCCTTGCTAGTGGAAGGACCAATGGGGACGATACAGTATTGAGCTGCCGCCTGCAGTGCCCAAAGCCTGCTCGCAACATTGACCCGAAGGGTGATGATCTGGGGATGAGCAAATCCCAAACTGGACAGTTTCTAAACTAATTACTTGTAATTTCTGGTGGTTGTAAGTGCAGAACTATGGGTGGAGCCACCTTAAATAATATTTTGGATAACACCATTTATTATCCACCTCTTGTGGGTGGACAGGGAGTTTCAATGTGGGATTCAAGCGCACAGGGGTCGGAGTTGCTTTCATAGCTGCAGTAGGTACCAGCGTGAGCTCACAGAGAGCTGTGGGTGTCCTGTGTGGAGATACCGGGAGATAGTGGAGAGTCTGATACTCTCTTGGGAGAAAAAGGAGGTAGTAATGCAAGATGATGCAGAAATGAGAAAAGGGGTGAAGAGAAAGCAGATGACGAGTCAGAGAGCCTGCCTTAATAAAGTATTACACATTGAGGATGTGAACTGAATTGCTAGTTGCTGTTTATCATGACCACATAAAATTCAAAGTACTTTGGTATTTAAATAGTTACAAATTCTGAGATGAGTCAGGAGGCAGAGATGATGTTTTATCCGTAGCCATGTTAGTGAATGCTTTACTAATGGAAGGATCTTATTTCCACTCTCATTTTCCAATGGTTTTTCTGATCTCAGATCATTTTGTTGTAGATAAATGGGACAAAATTAATAAAACTCGTACTTCTGGGGCTGTATTATTACAGCCTTAATTATTGTCTTTTAAAAACCATACTGCTACACAGTATTGCAAAGATGTTCCAAGTTCTCACTCTCCAGAGAGAATTAACTAAGAGTTACCTTCTGGTTCTACTTCTGTAGGAAACTTTGAGGGGAATTTTTTGCTGCTGTTGGTGAATCAAGTCTCATTTTGCACATCTTTTTGCCAAGAGACAACAAATGACAACGTGTCATTTGTGTGACAGGCACCGCAAGCATCCTGCACGAGGGAATGAGTCTTCAGGAGTTGAATTCTCTGTATTTCTGGGTATGGCAAGCTAGAATAGGCTGAAATTTGTGCAATAAATAGGATCAGTCGCATGAAATGTATTTTGATACAAAACTTTCTCTCTTGCCTGAAGACAGCCAGCTACTCAAGCAGCCCCTCCACCCTTAAAATAATCTGTAATGGCAAGGTGGTAGCTTTCTCTTCCCCCAGAGGAAGAGTTAAGTTTGAGAGAAGACAGATCCTTGTCCCAAGGAAAGTATTGCTGATGTTAGAATCAGGGACCCTGAACAGAGGCTGCTTTAGGAAGATGCATGTTGAGGATTGTTAATGCTGAAGAGGGGACTGACTCATCACATCATCAATTCTGCTCCTCTGCCAGTACAGCACAAAACATCTTTTATCATCACACTCTCTCTTTCTTCTTCATTTCTTTTTTAAAGGGGTTTAAAACTGTTCAGTGTTCTTCCCCTTTTCCAGCCCATTGCTGTTCTCCTGGTGGTGGTTATGATTTGGGGTGATGAAGCCCACATTTGCCCTGTGCAGAAGGACTCTTCCCATCCAGGCATTCTCAAGAAGAAACCAGAGGATGAATTTCTTGGCTTCTAGCTCTGAGTTGCATACATACCCCTTAGCTGTAAGAGAAGTAAGCTTTCCCATCTGAGTCCTTTTTTCTTCTTTTGCTTGCCTTAATCCCTCCTTTCTCTTTGTTGCGGAAAGCACTGTTTATCTTAACAGGGACAGCAAGAACACTCTGGCCACATAATTGCCATGAAGGCTACAGCATGGTCCAGACGGTACCAGTTTGCAATGATGTTTTTCTGGAGCATGCCAACAACCAGCGGCTGCTGCGAGAGCTGAAATTGCTGCTTTTTTTTCTGTTCACATCTGCATTTGATTTTCAATCAGAGTTGGTTGGTGAAAAGCCAACTAATCTACAGGGCTTCCAGGGTTTTTTGTTTGTTTTTTAAGGGGCTGGTTTGAGCCAAGTTTAGTACCACAGAACTGGTTTTTAATAGAATCCCCCCCCCCCGGAATTATAAATGCTGTTGGATACAGACTATTTCACATGGATCTTATAGGAAAATTATCATTCACCACTATTTCTTTGTATTAGTGTCTTGTGTATGACAGTTACAAAGGGACAGAGCTTTCTGTGCCAGGTGCATTACAGCACACAACAAAAGGGCAAATCACATATCCAGGACCTGTTGGTCTCAGGGATGCTGCTGGGGAGATGGGTGTTTCCAGCTTCGTGCTCTTCGTGGAGTCAGGAAATCAGAGAGGTTTGACTTTGTGAGAACTAGTGGAGGAATTTCCACAGGTTTGCATGAAACTCCTGACATTTTGTTTGGGCTGGTGTCACGTTCTCTTCCATTTGCTGCTGTTGTGGCAGATAAAGAATTGGTTTTGTATTGAAGATCACAGAATCAACGAGGTTGGAAAAGACCTTTAAGATCATCAAGTCCAACCGTTCCCCAGCACTACCAAGGCCACCACTAACCCATGTCACTGACGGCCTCATCTACACGGTTTGTGAACACTTCCAGGGATGGTGACTCCAGCACTGCCCTGGGCAGCCTGTTCCAGTGCCTGACTGCCCTTTGGGGAAGAAATTGTACCCAATATCCAGCCTAAACCTCCCCTGGTGCAGCTTGAGGCTGTTTCCTCTTGTCCTATCACTTGTTACTTGGGTGCATGAAAAGTCATTCTTTAGTTAGAAACTTCAAAGGAACAGGAAAAGAATCCATCTGCGATTCAACAATCTTAAGCTTTGGGGGACAAATCTGGTACCAAAAAGAGGAAAAGATCTTGGATCATGGAGTTTTCACCTTTTTTTAAGGCAATTTTTCTGTGAATTACAGTAACAGAAGGCACTGACCCGTAACTAGCACAGTCTGCAGCAGGACTTCTAATATTGCTTGCTGTCCTTTATTTATCTAAGGCTCTGTTTGATATGTAACACGCTTTTAACAGAATTTGTTGAGCTAAACATACAGTTACAGTTGAAAGGTGCTGAACTAACAACCCTCTGAAACTGGTTTTCTCATAGTGTGGGGGACATCAGCTGGGGGCACTGGCTAGATGAGGAAGGGAGCAAATTAATTGTGCTGACAAAGCAAAAACATAAAAGGTAAAAGTAACTGATACAATTCAACAGTAGTCCTGTGAACCATTAATTCTCAGATCTCAGTGCTTTGTACCTAAATTTTGATGTATGCTAGTGCAAAATCAGTGTAAATATCTATCTTGGTCAGCCTGGGGTTTTGGGGGTTTTTGTTTTGTTTTGTTTTCAAATTGTTTAATACATATTTTCTATAGTTGTTGGTTTTTCAATTAAAGGTGTAGGCTTTTGTGATGAAAATCCACTAGTCGCATCCCTGCTCTACCTTTTTCTATTAGCAGGCATGATGTACTCACTGCAGTAGTTTTAGCTTGTAGAGAACTGGTATAGTTTAAAATACTAAATGGCTGTGTGGTGGTAAGGTGAAGTACAACCTCCAGCAAGTCCATCCCTTCTTCTGCTTTGTGGCCAAAGCTGTTGAAGAGTCCCTTGATAATGGACAGCCCAGAGCTGTCTACCATTCTTTTGTGGTTAGTTGTATTTAGCCATCAAAGATACTAACTGAAGAACTGATATTACCTGCACTGATTTCTCACCTACCTTTGTAAAGAATACGAGAATGATTCGTGTCAAGAACTTAGGAATCATTGTTACCAATGCACCTGTGATCAGTGTACCATGTGTGGAATGTATAAAAATGACCTTGATTATAATAAATGTTGCTGTCAATGTAATGATGGGAAAGAAGAAACAAGGGAATAAGCTAGTCCCCTCTTTAATCATTTAGACTGTTAAAACAATAAGGAATGCTTTTAGCTTTGTTTAACTGCTTGAATGCTTTAAGGGGGTTAGGTAACCAAGGAGACACATCCTGTTAAATATATGGGTCTAAGATTGTGGTTAAGCTTGTGATAGGCATCTTTCTGTTAATGTATTACCGAGAAGTTTCAGTATGTTTCTTTAGCTGGAGAGAAGACCCCAGGGTCAGAAGCAGGGTCAGAAGATGGGACAGAAGCAAATGAAAAGGAGCCACATCAAGTTTCGGGCAAAGAAGACAACAGGCTTGGCTGGAACTCAAAACCAGGAACTGAAATCCTGGACCGAGAGGTATAAGAGATGTACCCCAAAAAACCCAGTGCGCATTGTTGGCGGAGCGGAGACTCCCCGCGCACCCAGTGCTGCTTATTATTGCCTCTTGATATTAATCAATTGTAATGAAATAATTAAATCAGATCATGGCCAAGACTAAATTTTTATAACACCTTCAGTTTTCTGAGTCAGTCCCAGTGGACTGCATGGGTGAAAATATGCGATAATTGGAGGCTGTGCGTGCAGCTGCAGTGTTCTTTAGGCAGCTGATGAAATCTGGCAGCCCTGTTCGTGTTGGGTATTAAATACTGAGGGGAGCTGGATGTGCTGGTGTGTGCATGCTTGGGGCTGACACCATGTCGTGGTTTAAAACCAGGCAGAGCTCCTTCATTCACTCCCCCCCCCTCTTCTTGCCCTCCCCCTACTCCCGGAGGGACAGAGAAGAGAATCAAAAAGAATGCAACTCCCACGGGTTGAGATAAGAACAGTTTAGTAACTAAGGTATAACACAAATCACTGCTGCTACCACCAATGATAATGATAAAGGAAATAACAAGGGAAGCGAATACAACTGCTCACCACCAGCTGACCGATAACTCGCCCCCCCCAGCCCGACCAAGCACTGACCGATACCTCCTCCAACTCTGCCGTCTCCCAGCCCTTCCGGGTCCCTCCCAGTTACATCCTGGGCATGACGTGCTGTGGTATGGAATACTTCTTTGGTCAGTTTGGGTCAGGTGTCCTGTCTCTGCTTCCTCCCGGCTTCCCCTCCTCCCTGGCAGAGCATGAGGCTCACAAAGTCCTTGGCCAAACCAAAACATCATTGTTATCAGCTCTGTTCCCGAGCCGAAAGTCAAAACACTGCACTACACCAGCTACCAAGAAGGAGAAAAAATGACTGCTACTGCTGAACCCAGGACACACCATCCTGCAGACTGACAGGCTGTCCTCTACTTGATGTGGAGAGTGGAACACACAGAACTTTAAATCTCTGCCTGTTTCAGTCTTTGGGGACATTTTCAGGGAGTTTGGGTAGTTTGATCTGCCTTCTACATTGTGAATAATGTCACCAATTGCTGCCTTCTCTGCAGCACCTAAAAATCTTCCTCTTGATATAGTTTGCTCTTATATCTAGTATATTTGCCTGCATATCTGACCTAGACACAGGATAAGCAAATTTAGGTATTTAATTTAAATCTCTTCCCTTCCTCCATGCTTGGCCTTCAGAAAATGGTTTTGGTTTTGGGTTGTGTTTTTTTTGTGAAGGAAGGAAGGAAAAGCACTGAACTTCTGTTTACCTCATTTTGTTTGAACAGAGCCCTGTGTGTTAACCCTCTGCCGCACAATGAAACTCTGTACAGTGAAAATTGGCTAAGTGGGTCCTTATTCAGGGTCATTCATCACCATGGCATAGCCTCGTGCATACATGGCAGATTTACATCAGTGAAACTGAGGAAGGAAAACAAAAAGCCCATGATCTAAAAGAAGGCCTCATGTTATTTATGAAGTGCCAGTAATGTCCTGAGGACTAGATGAAGATCTAATGAGCCTTGTTCTGCAAGGGTGCTGGTGGCAGGGTGACATGCCACCGAACAATGCTGCAAAGGGGGCAACATGTTTGGCAACTTGGGGCTCCTTAAAGGCACTTTGTAGTGTGCATTTTGCACACTAGGCTCTCCCCTTCAGAGGATGAGGAATGCATATGGGAAGTAAGTTCAACAGTAAGTACAGACAGTAAAATTAATTAAAGGAAAGAGTGTTCCTATTGTATTTGCTTTTTTGAAGCCTCAGGACATTCACGAGGCCAGGAAGCCACAGTGATAGGTTCAGATCCCACTTTGCTTATTTTGTTTGAGCTAAATAAATGTCAACAAATATCAGAGGGGATGCAGAGATGAATGGAGAAATGTACTTCCTGGAGTCTGTAACTCATTCTCCTTGAGAGGCTCAAATACACACCTTCCCTTGTGTGTCTGCTGTATTTCAGTGAGGGACCAGCAGCAGCTCCAAAGTTGTTACCCAGGAGCCCAAACCCGTAAGCCAGGCTCAGCCCAGCTTCATCAGGAGCATCCTTAGGATGCTGCTGGGCTGGGAGCAGGGTATGTGGTGTCAGCTGGTACCTGCTGCTCATTCTCAAATGAGCAAAGGTTTTTGATAGCAGTGGCAGTGCTTGCTCAACAGCCAGCGGCCAGGCCATGAGGAAGCCTTCTCTCACTCTCTGTACCCTGGTGGTTTGTGTTAAAGGAGAAATTGCATCTCTTGGCCCTGGGTGAGATGAGAGTTATTCTGGTTTCCGAGGCGTTGCTTTTTGGTGAGTGTCTCCAGCTGCTGCACTCCCCTTCACTCAGGGCACTGACTCATGCTTTTTGCCATCACAATAAGTCTGTTTTCATAAACAAAATTAAGTGCACTGTGTTTATTCATTAGGGAGAGTTGAAGTCTCTCAGCAACCAAGAAATATGCTTTGTTGGATGAACTCCTCTCCCTCTTCCACCCTCCTGTCTTCTACCAGCTAAGGGAAAAAAGAGATCTGGGACAGCACTGGCCTGATGCTATCAGCGAGTTGATCCTGGCCTGCTGATGTGCAGCATGACAACTGAGGAGACAGTATTGACTATTCAGCTGGGTTTGTACATCTCAGAGACTCAGTTTTCCAGAGAGGGATATTTAAAATTGCACAAAAGTGAACAGGAAAAAAAAGGGACAGGTTCATGAACTAGGCTTTAAGCAGCACTCCAGGTAAACAGCACAGATGAGGGGTCTGCTTGACAGAAAGAGAAGTTTGTCTGGCATGTGGATGGCTCTGTGCCTGTGGCTCCTTCTGGTTTTGGGTAGGACTGGGCATGGGCATGGGCAGAGCCAAGCATGGAAGTTTGTCTGATGCCCCTGTGCTAGAGTCCTTGAGGCATTGCTGCTGCTGTCCCTGTTGTGTCATCTCACCCCCAGCTTCCTCTCTCCTTCTCACAGTGGGAACACAGCTGCACCCAGCCCCTTATCCTCTGTGGGACAAATTCAATTTGCCTACAGCGCTGATGGGTTTTAAGCTGGATCTGCACCAAGGTAAGAGGTTCATGTGGCTTCACCATGCCAAGACCCCCCACTTTTGGGTGTTCCTCCTCCCTGCTGCCAAGGCTTCTGCAATTGCTGCCATCTGGGATTACTGATGCATTGGTGACGTTGATGTTTCTTCAGTAAGGGCTGGACTAAGGCCTGCAATATAGTTTGAGAGAAAAGAAAAATCTTCCTATGGTTAAGTCTGAAATAAAAATAAATCAGATGGGAATTGCCTGAGTGAGTTCATGGCAACAGGATGGATGAAATTTTGTGACTGAAACAAGCCTTATATCAGCTCACCAAAACAGCTTTGCTCTCCAGTATATAATTGCCCGCTACCATGTGTTTTCCAGCGTGCCAGTGTGATGGGGTACCTACTTCTCCCTTTGAAATTTGGTTTATATTATGATGCCCAAATCAGAGACTTGCAAAATCCTGTCTCAAACTGACTGCATGTGTCCATTTGGGTAGATGTCATCCTGCAGCAGAGAATTTAGAAGGAATAAGCAATCCCTGACTCAATGGGGAGTAGTGAGGGTTGGCCAGGTATGATGTCACTGTACACCTAAGAGTAATTCCAGCCTCTAGAACAGTAAGATTTGGGTTTGAACCAAACAATAATAAAAAATTATTTTAATAAAACCATGTTATTCCAGAGCTGAAAATATACCTTGAATTTATATTCATAACAACTACTCAGTGGCTTCTGTATTAGTATGCAAATTTTGCATCTATTGAAGAGGAATTAAATGTGGAATTTGCTATCTTTGCAGCAAATGTAGAAGGTATTTTGGCCATTCTTGAAATCCCACTTTCTACCACATAGCAGAAATGAAGTGAATACCTTTCACTCATGCTTTAGAGAGAACATAAATCAGAAACAAAGGACAGCAGAATAACAGGGTGGTGTTTCTCCTTCTAGAGCACCAGATACCCTGTGCCAACAGCAACAACGTTCACATGATCCGTGGTTTCCATGCCAGACAATTCTATGGGACTTGAGTGCTGCGGTTGCTTACCTTCCAGCGAGCCAGCAGCCAGTCTTCATCAGGGGTCATTCCTTGGTAAGAAATGCAGGCACTCACCTCAAACTTCATGAATCTGAGGGAGTGGAGCATGGCATTGATCTGGAATCAGACTTCTGATAACTGGAATTTGTCCCCAGTTATTACTGCAGTTGCTGGAGCTGGGACACTGGGTAAGTCCATTCCCCATGCCCCAGTTTCACCATCTGTCCAAACAAGGTCATAATATTTCCCTGAGAAATTAGTGCTGTGGGGGTGAAAAACCACTGGGTAAACCCAAGGAATTTTGTAATCTTAAAATGTTTAAATTTTTGCATGTTTTGTTTTCTCTGTGACTGACAGTGAATGCAGTGGGTCTTCTGTCTTAGGTTCCCACATGGAAAACTGGATACACTGATACGTGTAGGAATTTATTGTCTAGAAACACACAATGTCTTCCAAAGCGTAACCAGATGGACTGTCCTGCTAAATAGTCACAGGCGTGTGACTGTGCACAATTCTTCAAAGAATACAACCTGCAGCCATCCCTCATTGTGTGCCTGCAAATCCTGTTTTCAGTGCTGTTCTGTTTCCGTTGCTCTTGGATTCCTTCACCACTGAAAAATGCTCTGGATAAAGTGATGGCCAGGCTGAGTGCGTAAGTCTGATTTTCAGCTCCTGCCAGGTAAGCCTCCAGCTCTTATTGCTTATAAAACACCCAACAGGTGAAATTGCATGCAGAAGTGAATCGGCCTCTTCACCGCCTTCATCATTATGCTTATTTCAGAGGGCTCCAGGTTGGCCAGCAAGATTTGGGTTTGTCTCATATAACATTAGGAAAAGGGATAAGTCCTGGACTATAAGCAACAAAAAATGGATCTCATTTCAATGTAGCTCCTTAGTTACAAAAAAATACATGTTTAGCTTAACCTGTTTCCAAAGAACTAAGGGATAGTTAAAACAATGGTTGATTGTTGCCAAGCCCACTCCCTGTTGCGTGAATCAGCAATATTGTCAGAAATAATTTATATAGGGTACAGTGTCTCCATGATTGATCTGGTTTCCATTCCATCCTTGCTCTGGTTTCTGTACCCCAGCTGGTCGACCATCTCCTGTTTTTCAGGTAAGTTTGGTGTGGTTTTCCTATCTGTGTGATGGTTGGGCTTCGGAGGCCAAAATAGGAGTGTGCAGTGTTGGGGAACAAAGAAAAAGGCCAGGGAGTCTTGTAGCTGCTGCAGAAGCTGTGTTGGTTTAATACAGAGGTGCTGTAGGCATCATCTATCATCATTATCCACTGCCTGGTGTGTGAAACTTGGTGGCAGACATCAGATCGGCAAAACTCTATGCTTTCTTGCGAGAGAACTGTGCAGAGAATCTTGTGCTTACATAGACATTAAACTGGTTGAATGCTGCTCTGGCCAACTCCATGGGGCAAGGACCATGTTCATTGCTCTTTCACTGTCCTATGACCAGCCTGAGTGAGCTGAGCAGGGCTGATGCCTGGGTCATTGTGGGTACCCAGACCTTTGGTCCCTTGCCTGTGCCCAGCCCTGCCTGCAGCTGCAGAGAGCCTGAACAAGCCACTCTGCCAGGGCATGGAGCCCACATGAGGACAGTTGGGGTGTCCCAGCACCCACGCTCCCACCCCTCCAGCCCTGGGAACTCAGAGCAAGTGGAAACCACTTATCTGCCAACGCCATATGTGATCGCAGTGAATAGAAAGAGAGACTGGGTCAGGAAAACCTCAAGAAATTTATTTACAAAACAACAACCAAAAAAAAGGCAAACAACAAAACAAACTATAGCTCTTCTTAACCCTACATTTGTTCTATGAAAACTACAAATCTGATATGAAAAAACAACAATCTGATGAGAAAAACAACAATCTTCTACGAAAAACAATCTTCTAAGAAAAGCAGCAGCTCTTCAACAAAAACCTCCTTCCCTCTCCACAACACCTCCATCTCGATCAACCCTGGAAACAAGCAGCGCAAGGTCATTTCAGTGAGGCTACTGATGGTCATTGTGTTTGCCAAAGCCCTGGGACATGCTGGGAAGAGCGGGACTCTGTCGCAGGGCTCAGACCAGGCTGGGAGCCGGACTCTGTGTGATCAGGCTTGGCTCACGTGTCCCAGAAGCAGCCCCGGGCAGTGTGGTGGTGGCGCTTGTGCCACCGGGATGAGACCACTGGGCACCATGTCCCTGCAGCCCCAGCCCCAGCGCGGCAGCAGCCGACCCACCCTGACTGCCAGCAGTGGATGGGGGGCACGTGCTGCCACAGGCCAGGATCATCTCCTGCGCTCCTTCCCTGCCTCACAAGCAGTCAATGATCGACCTGAGCAGTGCTCATGTGCTGCAATTGGGATGCGTCCATGGGGTTGGAATTCAGCCCTGCCCAGCCATCCTCCAGCTGTGCCCATCACAGTTGAGCCCATGCCAGAACCTGCTCCCCATGCACAGCGAAGGCTGCGAGGGCAGCACAAGATGCGGTGCCAGCAGCGGGTGTCCAGGGCTGCCTGCTTCAGGAGGGCTCTGCAAGAGCTCTGCACCTTGAACTCGCGTGTCCCCGTTGCATTTGCACGCACACCTCATGCACGCGGCAGCTCCCCCTGCACCCCGCTGCCATTCTGCTGCTGGCCGCTCCCCCTCCCTGCCCGCTTGCAGGGTCCCACATGTCAGCACTGGCGGGTGACCATGGCTCCAGCTGCAGCCGCCAACACCTGGTATCCCGAAGCAGCTCCAGACCCGGACCTGATTCCCACCCTGCGGGATGGGCACCAAGGGACTCACTGGGAGGAAGGGATGGAAGGGGGTAAAAGGCTTGGTTTGGGCAGCAGCAGCATCCGTGAGGATGCCGGGTGCAGGCTGCTCCCCACAGTGACGCGAGCCTGGGCACGCTGTGATGCTGTGATTCCATGACTGATCCCTTGTATGTGGCCGTGTTTCCCCCAGCTTGAGGAGCAGCCCGAGAAGCTTTGGTCAGCGCTGGCCCAGGCTGTGCCCGATGGCAGGACCAGACCAGGTGCCCTGAAACCACTGAGGGGTCAGGGTGAGCGCCCAGACCTTTGGTCCCTCGCCCATGTCCGTTCCTGCCCACAGCTGCAGAGAGCCTGAAAGAGCCGCTCTGCCGGGGCAGGGAGCCCACGTGAGGACACTTGGGGTGCCCCAGCACCCAGCGCCAGCCCCCATGGCCCCTCCAGCCCTGGGAGCTCAGAGCAAGTGGAAACCACTTGTCTGCCAAAGCCACGTGTGATCGCAGTGAATACAAAGAGACTGGGTAAGAAGAACGTCAAGAACTTTATTTACAAAACAAAAAATAAAATAAACGACAAAGAACAACCTTTCTTCTCAAAAATACAACTCTTCTACCTAAAACTACAACTATTCTACCTAAAAGAACAACGCTTATTCCTAAAACTACACCTATTCTACCTAAACCTACAACTCCTACCGAAAAACGAACAATCTTCTTTAAACCGAACAATCTTCAATGAAAACTGGAACTCTTCTAAACAAATCTTCAAATGCCGTTACAACATAACTCTCCACCAGCCCTGGAAACAGGCAGCACAAGCTCACTTCAGTGAGGCTACTGATGGTCATTGTGTTTGCCACACGCTGGGGAGAGCGGGACTCTGCCGCGGGGCTCAGCCCTGGCTGGGGCTGGGAGCTGGGCTCTATGCGATCACATTGGGCTCGCGTGTCCCAAGGGCAGCGTGGTGGTGGCGCTTGTGCCGCCAGGATGAGGCCACCGGGCACCGTGTCCGTGCAGTGGAGCCGGCACACACAGCCCCAGTGTGGCAGCAGCCAGCCCACTCTGACTGCCAGCAGTGGATGGGGGCACATGCTGCCTTACCCCTCACCAGCTGGTATACATCGCCTCATCCTCCTCCACATCCACATCCATCGGTTCCTCGCGCAGCCCCAGCTGGGTCCTGCTGGTGGCCTCTTCCTCCAGCTCCCGCATGCGTTGGGAAAGTGTAAGGCAAATGCCAGGCAGAAGAGAAGAGTGCATTGGTGCTGTCCAGAGCTGCGGAGCGCAGCTGTGGGGCAGGGCTCTGGGCACCCCGGTCTCCTCTCGCTGCCCGGGCAGAGCCGTGGGGCGCTGGGGCCCCAGGCACGTCTGCAGGAGGAGCTGTCAGGAGGCCGGGGGCTCCTTGTCCAGCAGCACCCACCAGCCCTGCCGCTTGTCCAGCAGCACCCACCAGCCCTGCCGCTTGTCCAGCAGCACCCACCAGCCCTGCCGCTTGTCCAGCAGCACCCACCAGCCCTGCCGCTTGTCCAGCAGCACCCACCAGCTCTGCCGCTTGTCCAGCAGCACCCACCAGCCCTGCCGCTTGTCCAGCAGCACCCACCAGCCCTGCCAGGCTGGCGCGTGCAGCCGGAGGATCCTCTGCCTTCTCTTCAGCGCCTTGCGGGGCGGTAACGGCTTCAGGGCCTGCCAGAGCAGCGAGGGCAGGGGTGAGCGGCCGTGCTCCCTGCCTGGGGGCCAGGGCACAGACCCGGCCCCACACCTGCCTCGGCACCCACCGGCTCCTTACTCTGCGGAGGCAGCCTTTTGCCTCCTCGCCTCCGCAAGGGCTGAGCTCGGCCACCAGCAGGACGAAGGTGTTCTTCCTGGGGGGCTCCATTTTGTGGTTCCAACATGGGATCAAAGGGTAAAGGGAGCAAGAGTGTAGGGCTGGGAACAAGGGCATAGGGCTGGGAGCACTCGGGAAGGGCTGGGCAGAAGGGATTGGTGTAAACAAGCGGGAACAGAGGAAAAGTGTGCGTTCATGGGCGACGCTCTGAGTTGTTCTGTGGGCACGGGCGGTTGCTGGTGTAACGCGGCTGCAACATCACAGCAGCCCTCTGGAACTGCTGCACAGCAGGGAATGGGGATGAGCCTGAAGGGGCTGCAGCTTCACTGGGGACATTGGGCAATTGTTACATTGCCCCCTGCAACCACAAAGACACGCTTTGGTGCTTAAATAGGCAGTAAAATGGATGAAGTCTGGGCTGCCAAGTGCATGGGGCCAGAACCATCTCCTTTGGTCTTTCACTGTCCTGCAAGCACTCAGTGAGCGAGCTGAGCAGTGCCGATGTGCAGCACTTGCAATGCGTTCATGGGGTGGAATTCAGCCCTGCCGGGCCTCAGGATGCCAGTGGCAGCAGGAGACGGCTGTGTGGGCACATCCTTCAGGCAGGCACGTCAGGGGTGAGCCATTTGAGAACCTGTGCCTCACGCAGCCCAGCTCCTGCCAGCCTCTCCCGCCTCCCCCTTGCCGCAGGCCTCACAACCTCAGCATTTTTGCTGTGCCAGCAGTCCTGCCCTTCAGTTCAGTAGCTGTGGCCTTCCCTAAACTGATGAATAAAAATGATTTAAGCCTCTCTACAACATTAGTTCAATGAGGTGATGTTGACAGGGGGAGATGGTCCACAGGGGGTAAGCAGGGATAGGGAGGACGAGGCGAGTGCTGGGTGGCGGCTCATCCTTCCCTGTGAAGCTCCCTTAGCAGCAGCTCATTTGAGCATGGCCACCTGAGCAAGCCAGTGATGATGTACTGAGAAAAGAATCTGGTATGAAGCTGAAAGGCAGCTTCCTAAATCGAGTAAATTACATTTGTATTAAAAAGAAAGAAAAAAAAAAGAACTTGTAAATTGCCTATTTACACAATGGAGCACGCGAGCAAGTGAGTTCTCATACGAAACCCAGATGTTCATTAGGAACACGAATTTTTCTTCCTTGCTGCTACCCTGAAAAGTAAATCAGGGGAAAAAAAGTCAGCTGTGTTGAAGGGGTATAAAGGAGGGAGTTAAGTCTCCAAAATCCAGGAAATTTCCTGTTAAGGCAAAAATCTGGGGTACTGTTGTAGTCTTTTAATTTGGACCCAAGATATAAATTAAAGCCAGAGTATCAGGTCAGGTGCTCAAGTTCTCAGCCCTTAACTGTGGAATTTCCAGGTTAGGTTACTTAACTTTTCCTGTTGCTGAATAAAGCTCAAATCCTGTGTGCCATATATTTGCTCATCATAAAACGTTCTCTCCTAGCCAGTAACAGCTGCTTTGTTGGCGAAGCCTGTCTGGTTTATGAGCTTCCCAGCCTTTGTACAGGG